TTGTATTTGAAGTTAGTGTTGGCAAAGATTTGGGTAGAAATTGGTGTCAAATTTAGTTAGTGTTGGATAAATTGATTTCACCTGTAGAAATTACTTGTACAGGTCTCAAATTCTGTCACCAAATTAAGTTCTCTTCCTTGCTGATACTAACAATTAGTATTAATTGTTCACTCATTTAAAAACGTCTGAACTTTTACTGTGTGATAACGCCGTCTCTGCTTATTGTTTGCTTTTATAGCACTAAACGAGAACACGGAAATTCAGGCAGGCGAAGACAAATCTGTATCTGATGAGGTTACTCCGCAGTCTTCGTCCAATCATACAGCAACACCAAACGTTTCCCAAGAAGTCAACCAAAATACTACCACTATGGTTTTGATGCATTCTTTTCCTCAGGATACCAAACTTTAGACGTCTATGTGTCGTATTCATTGTGCATAATTTACTACATGACTTAAATGTGTTATGTTTATATTCATGTGAAAAATCTCGCAGGTTTTATAAGATAAATGTTGTAATTTTCAAAGGAGTGAAGGCAAAGAACCTTCAAATAAATTGAAATATTAGGGAATGACTTCTGTTTTCAGATCAGAAACTTGGTGTATGGTTAAGAGAAATTGGAATTCAAGATCACTTCGCTTTCGATGTCGAATTCGAAATGGTTTGAAAGGCTACGTTAAGCAAGTCCGTCCTTATCGACTGAGCTACTGAGGATTGATTTCTTATGACGATACTTGGGAAAGCTTATTTTACTTTCTCATTGTCAAGGTACAAAAAGTACCCCTACCTGGTTTTAAATGGTGTTCTACCTTGCCCCAGAACCAGATTTGGTAATGCACTCTTGGTAAACTTGCATGTATGTTACACTGTAATGTCACAAACTTGTACGTACGTACGTTGGAAGAGCGGAGATACTGGAAATACAAATATGTTTCTTTGAAGCTTGCTCTCTCATTTCTGTTCTTATAAAGAAGGTAGTTGCCTACCAGCTATAACAAAAACTTGGGAGCTTAAATCGTGTGGCTACCGTATCGAGGAAAATCAGGTGAATAAAGAACACATTGTAACGGTTAGTTTTTTTATTGATCCTCAATTATTGGCTGATTAAAAAAAAAACGAATTTACTGTTTGACTCTTTTCATTACGTATTCCTCGCAGGATAATTACGCCTGATGGACCTTTCTATCGATGTTACGCGGTCTCACTGAACAATTTTGCGCATTTTTCATCATTTAATGAAATAGATCGTAATGTCGTGATTATTTCAAAGATGGACATATGGACATTTCAAGTTTGTCAAGCGTTTAAGGATCCAACAGAGCAAATTTTAACTTTTTCTCATTGCGAAAAAATATACGTTTACTTTGTCCAATCCCACTTTTCTCTGGCACGAACATTCGATACAAGTGCATGCCACTCTTCTTGAATTCAGCCTTAAATCTTCCCCGCTTTATTTAATGACTATGTATACAATGAAAATTTAATGAATGCGTTAAATGTGAATCTTAGAGCAACAGGAATCTTTGCTTTGAAGTTTGAGAAGTATGTGACGAACAAATAAGAAAGATATACTTCAGTGGCTGCTTCTTCTTCCCTCCTTCTTGATCATCACGTTTTTGGGCGGTAACAGACATCGCTTCATTTAATCCAGAGATCATTACGGTTGGTATCATACCTAGCTCGTCATTAAATATTGTATGCCTGAGTGCTTCTTCCTCTCTTTTGTGTCAGATATAGTGTACTTAGGAACGAAATCTATTT